TAAAAAATCGTATGATATCCTTAATAGTACTAGAAGTGTTTCTAATGTCTGGGATAGCATTTTGATCATTTATGACAAGGTTAAGTTTATGTGAAGCACAATGATAAAAACATGCCATTGGATACTTGCGTCGTATGATACTTTGTACTCCATTTATTCTACCACTCATTGTCGAGCATCCGTCAAATCCAAGGCCAATAAGTTGTGACAAACTTAATCCATATTTATTAGTGATATTAATTAAGGCATTTGCAATACCTTCAGCACTTAGGTCTTGAACTTCAGTGAAACCTAGAAATTCTTCTCTAATTTCAAAACTTTGCATGTTGAAATAACGAATACCAATTGACAATTGCTCTTTTCCGCTTATATCAGAAGTTTCATCAGCTAACAAGGAAAATACATAAGAATCATTGATACAAGATATTATATCGTTGCGAATAACATCACCACAAATACTTATTATCTCATTCTGTATTCTATGGGACACATATTTTGTTTTAGTTGTACATGTTTCAAAATGATTCATCAAAATTGTATCACCAGAGTCTACTCGAAACTTCCGTAAATCAATAAAATTTCCTTCATCAGAACATTTACCTCTTATAGCAATATCATGTGTTCCACAGTATATTAATGTTTTAATAATTGGGATAATCTTTTTTCGGYTATTTTCAATAACTCTGTTATACCCAGTATCTATTTGTTCCAACACAGTTTTTTTTTTAAATGTTAATGTATCCTCAAACATTTTTGCTGATGCTGTTGAATCTTTATGACATTGCAATTGGCTATGTTTTTTTGCTTCTTCATGTATTTTATAAAATTTAACAAACGGTTTAATTATAAATGCTCCATACAATCCTCTTTTAAGAGTAGGCTTAAATAACACACAAAATTTGCATAAAACTCCTTTACATGTTGGAGAATAAACCATCCAATCATATTTATCCAGACATCCAACACTGAATCCTCGTTTAGCACCTGGGATCATATCATTTTTGAAATTATAACAACTGGTTGGCTTGAATGGAAATTTCAGTAACTTGTACTTTAAGTCATCTGCAATTGGTCGAACATTAATAAATGCTMCTACGTCTAAAAAATCAGGAAWATTACTGTTTGAATCTGAAAAAAATATTTAATTGAACTTAAAATATATGAAAAATGGAAATACTCAATGACAAACTGCAATGTCAATTACTATTAACTAATAATAAATGTTATAATTAAAGTAAGTACTTATATAGAGTATTGAACAATAATGCTCATGTATAGAAATTAACGATTTATAAATAAAAAAAAYTCAAAAGATACATTTTTAAAATTATTACTCACTAGTATCAGTAGACGTTGCAGTTGTAGCAATACTTTGTAATGAAGGTGACTGATCAAAAACATTCATATGATTGACATAATTTAAACATTCCTGTAGAATTAAAACAATATTACTAAAATTTAACTATTTAAAATATAAATTGTATGTAAATATAACAACTTTT